ACTAGGTGAATACATACTGTATTTACAGACTTATGAGAATCCAACCCAGGTTTGATCTGAACTGTTGTTCTGAGTCAAATGCACCGAGATAAACAACTGTCTCATTTCAACAAAGTTGATTCATTATGGATTGACATCACGAGTGTGCATGAATGCAAGCAAGATACTCAGATTGGTCTGATCAAACTGTATTCATTTCAAAGTATAGATAGTCCTTGATTTACAACCACAACTGGAACCAGAATTTCTTTTACTAAGCAATGCAGTCATTGTAATTTCTGTCTTTATGACCTTTTTGCCATGTTGTTAAGCGAATCACTGCAGTTTTGGGAAACACACCGTCATTCAGTTGATTCTGGCTTTCCCATTGACTTTTGTTTATGAGGAACCCCCTGGGAAGATCACAAATGATGATCACATCATCACCCCAGGATGTTGCAACCAATACATGCTGGTTGTCAAGTGCCCAAATTTTGATCACGTATCCGAGGGAACACTGCTACAGATGTTAAATACAAGGTCTGGTTGAAAGTCACTTTTTTTAGGGTCATTGTAATTTCAAACATTTTTAAAAAACAAATGGTCATAAGTTAAGGACTAGCTGTATCTGATAATGATCCAACACATTCTTTTCAATTTTAATCTTCGATTTAGAAATTCGGAATCATCTTTAAATGTCTGGTTTGGTTCTTCAACCCAACAAGACAGACACAGACTCCAGAGAGTAATTAGGACTGCAGAAAAAGCAATTACTACCAACCTGCCTTCCATCGAGGACCTGTACACTGCATGAGTTAAAAAGAGGACTGTGAAAATATCTACAGACCCTTCACATCCTGGACATAAACTGTTTCAACTCCTACCCTCAAAACGATGCTACAGAGCACTGCACACCAGAACAACTAGACACAAGGACAGTTTTTCCCCGAACGCCTTCACTCTGCTAAACAAATAATTCCTTCAACACTGTCCAACTAGTTACTAAGTCTGCACTACTATTACTGTTAATCTTCTCATCACTCCTTATCACCCATCTTCTCCCACTTGTGACTGAATGACTATAACTTTGTTGCTTGTATCCTTATGATTTATATTGACTGTTTCCTAGTAGGATTTGATTGCTTATTTGTACCCTATGACTATTATTAAGTATTGTACCTGATGATTCTCGACTCTTGACAAATGTATCTTTTCTTTTATGTACACTGAGAGCATTTGCACCAAGACAAATTCCTTGTATGTCCAATCACACTTGGCCAATAAAGAATTCTAATTCTAAATCAAATTCTCAAAACTGAATACTTGTATCACTCTAATATTTTCCCTCTGTTTCAATCTATGTGATAATTCATTATTATATTTGATGTAGCCCTTTCCTGTAAGACAGGAATGAGTGATTTTGTGCCAATAACATTTTTGAACTAAAAGAAAAAAAATCTGTTTTTTTTATTACTTTATCTTTCATCACATCACACTAATAATGGAATGAAATTGATCCTTTCCTTCCCAAAATAAACTAAAGTTATCAGCTATGTGATCTAAACATTCCCTATTTTTTAAAAAAGTCATTTTGGTTGGAGAAGTTCAAGACGGGGAATTTTACGTGTGAAAGCCCCAGGAGTGTAAAGAACTGGAGTTTTCATATCTCGGTTTATTATTCCTAATATTAGATTGAAACTTCCCCCACTTGTCGTTCTCTTTCTCAAATTCCCCACCTGACCTGATGTGTCTCTCCCCTGTTTCCACCTGTCAATCACATTCTGGGGTGGAAATTTGATTTCTCTCCCAACAATAACCTTATATGAAACATTACCATAAGGGTCAGCACAATTTGAACCTTTCTGTGCACGTTCATTAACACATCCCAGGTCCAATATCTGTTTATTTCCAAGTTACATGATTTTTTTGCTGGAACCTCTTTGACAATGCTTGCCGGTCAGCAATTGCTAAATCTGCTCTCAAGAAGGAAGCAAACTGCCTTGGCCTCTTGCCTTCAAAAAGACTCCTTTTGTAAGGGAGACGTTAGGACGCGCGGTGTGTTACTGCTAAGGATTCCTCTCTTTCTGAAACGTTAAGAGAAATGTGTGGATTTGAGTGAGGAAGAACGATAAATAATATGAGGATAAAAAAAAAATCATCAGTCAGTGCAGAAGACTATATAAATAAATTCTTCTGCATTTCCAGATTCAATGCTTATGATATTTGACCAGACAAACCACTGCGCCCTGTTGGATCATTGTCTCTGAGATATTTCCTTACCTAAACAGAGAAACAGAACTGACCACGGGCAGGCAAAAAAAAAAAAGCAATGGGACTTTTCACTATCTGCCAATTGCCCTGTGGGGATCTGGCAGGGAGCATTGTGACTGCCAATTTTTTTCCTTCCAGAAGAGGAAGAGGTAACAACCAGATAAAACGACCCTGCATCTGCTCTTCGGACTTGGATAGAGCACGCAGGCGGACAGGCTAACCTATAGGCTCTGCAGGCTAAAATCAGATTGATCCGGGGATCAAAAATACCCTTGAGAAATAAATGTTCCTTGCATGCAAAGTCCCTTTCTGCTTTTCTTTTGCTAGCATAAATCCACAAAAATTCAATAGTATGCATGCATCTCCATATTGGCAGAAACCACAACTGCTGAATGCACAGAGTTAAAACGGGGTTGGAGGGGCAGAGGGGGAGGGTTCAGCTCTCAATTAAAGTTGCAATCATTGAAATATATATCTGGATATTCCCCCCCCTCTCTCTCCCTCCCTCCCTTCCTCTGTGTATCTCTCTCTCTCTCTCTCTCTGTGTGCATCTTTCTGTGTCTCTTTCTGAGTATGTCTATGCATCTCTGTGTCTGTCTGTCTGTCTCTCCTCATCCCCTTATTAATATTCTCCCCCTATTCATGTTTTCAATTCATCTCCCTTGTATATTACTTTACATTTATGTAATACTTTATCTCTATGGAAATTCTCAGTCATCCAGGTCATAGTTGTCCCAAAAGTGCTTCTCCGAGAGGCAACTGGAACTTCACTTTTTTTCTTGAAGACATTTCACTTCTCATCCAAGAAGCTTCTTCAGTTCTCCAGAAAAAGCAAGTCTGGGATAATACTTAGTCAGACAGCTTCCTATGTAGTCATCCCAAAGCAAAATACAAATAACAGAAAGGGAGAATAGGAGCTGAGGGTTGGTGCTGGGAAGGCAGTCAATATTTTAGGGCAAGGACCTGCCTTGTCCTCGTACAGTATAAAGTTAGTAAGCCTCTTGGTTATACTTAGGCATAACCTAGAGCGCAAGTAGCTCTTTCTTTCTCCAACCCCTTAGATTTGCAACAAGAATATTCCAGTGATGGGATAACCAAGCTCTATGAATAAGAAGGAAAAGCACAGCATTAGACTTCCCTCCCAAATAGGCCAAAGCAAAAGAAACCGAACATTGATTGGGGTAGCAGAAAGACAGCGCAACCAAAATATTGCATGTTTACAAACCCACATCATTAAGCATGAGAAAAGACTGAACGATTAAGATATAGGATCGACAGTATATATCACATATAGGATTCTGATAAAGGTGGGATTAAAACAACTCAATAAATAAATAACAGAAATAAAATCAATAATATTTTTTAAAAAATACTAAAGTATTCATGTGTGCTTCTTCCGGAGTACCAGCAACCAGCAAGCTGGATTCTAGAATTGCTTCCTACCTCGGAAAGGAGGAATAGAAAATACCAATATTCCTTTTAATATAGGGCACAGTAGTAAACTTAGCATCCCAGCTATTGAACGGGATTAGAAAAAAAAAATTATAACAATTCCACCATGCCTCTGGTTTTGATTAATTGATCCAGGATGGAGGACAGCAATCTTCATACAGATACTCCTCAACTTACAACTGCAATTAAACCTCATGTTTCCATTGCTAAGGAAGGCGGTGGTTAAGCCTCATTTTATGATCTTTTCGCCATAGTTTTTAAGCAAATCCCTGCAGTTGTTCAGTGAATCAAGCGGTTGTTAAGCAAGCCTGGCTTCCCCCATTGATTTTACTTGTCAAAAGCCAGCTGGGAAGTTGACAAATGGTGATCACATGACCCCAGGATGCCGCAACCATCATACATACATGCCAGTTGAGAAGCGCCAGAATTTTGATCACATGATCATGGAGAAATGTAGCAATGGTGGAAAGTGGTCCTAAAGTAATTTTTTCAGTGCTGTTGTTAACTTCAGTCACTAAATGAATGGTTGCAAGTTGAGGACTAATTATAGTTAGTCTTCCTTCATTTTATTACTGCTCTGGGTCTTAGCTGGTACACTATTGCTGTTTGCTGCAGGCCACCCAGATGTGGCTCACATCATCATAGCAGGAGTGGGATTCTCCCGGTTTGGACCGGTTTGTGGGAACCCCTTGTTCTGACAATCAGATGGCTTTGAACCGGTTTGCTCCGATGAGCATGTGGACTCACCCGCCTGCCTTTGCTCTTTCCTGTGCTTTATGTCTTTTTGTTAAGAGCACAGCTGATTCGCACATCAGAGCTCTGTGCTGCGCCTCAGCTGTTTTCTTCAGCTGCAGTCGAAGGTAAGTATGAGTTTTTTTTAAAACCGAACCGGTTGTTGTACTGTTTGAATCGCACCCCTGATCATATGGACTGTGGGAGTCGACAAATAAGGTTACATAAATAAAATAAACATCCACGTTATACCCAGAGTCACAGTTAATTCTGAAAGGCATGTGTCTGTCCATGTGCATATGTATGCACTCATCACTTTTTATTTATTTATAGGGACTGTCTCGCATGCAACATCTGTAAAAGATTGCAGACATATCAGGAATGTTTTTTTTTTTTAAGGGCATCTCTGATGGCTAAAGAGAAACTAGCGAATTGATGACATTAAAGTACAGAAAAAAACAAAACATAAATAGCTTCCCTCCACCCACTGCCAAAATACCACCACCACCCCAGAGAAATAATAATAATAATAAGCATTGGTTTGCCATAAAAATACAAAAGTGTACCTTATCAGGCTCCAGGCAACAGGAAACTCTCACATCACCGTTGTAGAGGATTCTCTTGGATACCTAATTTAGTAAAAATAGATTGAAATAATAATAACAATTTATAATGAATAATAATTTTTTAGACCTGAACATCCTAATTTTACCAAACTAAGAAAAAAACATACCTGCTTAAAACTGGCTGTATTCTTAAATGCTACCTTAATCATTCTTAGGTCCTTAGTTAGAACTTGAATTATTCAGTTTCCAGAAGTCTTTGATAATTAACTCTCAGTATAGATTATCCAGACATCATAATAATAGTAATAAAAAAATATTGTTATAAAATAAAAATAAATCCAGATTATTTAATAAAAATAAATCCTGATCTTTTTAAAAAAAGAATCAAAACTAAACTTGGTTATTTTACACTCAGCAGAGCTCAGCTACGGGACATTTATTAAATAGTTAAACTTCCTTCTTTCTAATGGGACTTCCTTATTGCAAATATATTCGGTCTTGCAAATTTGGATTTCAGAATCTGTGTTTCAGAGGGGGAGTAAGTCATGGTCTTAAGTCATGCATCCACAACCTCCCATTGAAAAAGACCATTTCATTGGTTTTATTTCTTTAGTTCCATTTCTATAGCTGCCCATCTCAATTCTCCAATTTCCCTCATTCATTTATGCCGGACGCCAGATTGGAAAAGGCTGTTATAAAAAAACAGCAAAGCTACCCCAGCTCATTGTGTTTGAATTAATACAGATTTTGACATTCTATACATTAACTGTCCAAACCTCCAGATTTCTCTCTCTGAAATTGTGTCCCGCTAAAAATAATGATAAACGGAAGCATTGCTTTGGAAAAGTTTGAGACAGAAAAACAAGCAAAATAAAATATCACCCCAATCCTTTCCAAACATGAGGGCCACACAGATAAATTTTATGTTTATTTATTTTTTTAAGGAATGCTCACTCTACTCTCACATATCAGGTGGCGAAATATCTTTACCAAGTAACACAACTATGCAATTTTTGTAATTAGATCTGCAGTTGTATGGCCCCATTATTACTTTTCTCCTTTCCCAATTAAAAATGGCTGCGTTAAACTCTTTCTCTTTTTAGTGTACTGTTTTTAATTGTAAAGGCTGGCCAAAGATCGTAAGATCTTTGATTGGAGACAAAAAACCAAGCAAAGTGTTTTTTTTTTGTTTTTTTTTAAAAAAGCAGGGATTATCCACAGGTATAAATAAGTCAAGAAGGCCACAATTCAGGGATTGGTGTTCTTCTTGTGGATGTGTGCCTTGGCTTTATTTCCACGGACTCCCCAAAACATGAACAAGGGAGCAGGGAAGGAGATATACATTTTAATCCGTGGGCAATAAAATGAAATTTATTATCTTTTGCAAAGGATCAGCTACACACTGATGTAAAGGAAAAAAAGAACAAGAAAACCAGAGCAATTCTATGCATCTCCCTTAATTCAAGAGAAAACCTGGCTGCGGTGAGGGACGACATCTTGATAGAGTTTACAAGGATTTGTGAAGCAAACCAGAGATGGGAATAAAGCTGTCCTTTAAAACCTGCATTGCATAACCTGTTTAACTCCCAAATAATCTCTTTCGAGCCAAAACTGCTGTTCTGCAAAGAAACCAGGGATTGCAGCTGAAATCAGCATCTATTTAACTTTTCCCAATGAACTCCATCACAAAACTGCTGTAAGCTGACCTAGCTGTAAATAAATCCAATTTGGGCGGTGTATAAAGAGCAGAATGAGAAAAATTCGACTTCTGGAGAGCATCTCTGAATTTAAAAAAAACAACAAAATAAAACCCAAACTGTACCGTTAGATCTAATTACCAAGTTTCTATTCAGCACGTAACGATTGATTCATATGTGTGTGTGTGTGTGTGTGCATTTCTATATACAGACCTCTTTTAAACAGCAGCAAAACTTGTTGATTTTAAAATATGTAGTGCTGTTCCGGGATGGTATGCCAACATTACAATCTATTCTAGACAGACAAGTGAGAATGAATGAATAATAAGAGTCTCCTTTGCTTGCCTGCTTTGTGTTTTTTTTGTGTGTGTTTTTTTTAAGAAATGCAGTTTGGAGACACTGTCTCTTTAAATGTGATCTCTGGCATTTGGCCCAGGATCTTTTAAAGTAGATGACTCCTTCAGACCTTGGGTGTCATTTTCCTCAAGGATGACCTTTGCTTTGATGCCAGCTGGTGAATCCAGTGTGTTACGGATGCATTTATTTGGAAGTGATAGGTATTCAATTCTCACCACCGCTATATGGAAGAGCAGCCCATATATTGAGGTCAGCATCCTTTTATTATCTTTGGAGTATTATCAAGAGGATATTATTCATATTCTGGCATTACCACCACCAGCTCACTCAAAGCAATGCCACTCTAATGATTATACCTGCAAGTTCAAAGATTCAGTTAAAACTATTCAATGGTTGGGCGTTAATAAACAGGAACCCAAGAAGAGCTACCTTAACTCAACCTTAGAAAAAGAAACACAGATTTATGAATTGAACGAGGCTGATTCTTCCTTTTCTCTCAAATGTCTCTTACCAGCTTTGCAGCATTGTTGCATAATTATGTATCATAATAGCCAGAAAAGTATGTAAAAACTTCAATCCATCATGATACAAATGCTGTATTTCTTATGTTATTTCTTGTGTTTCATATTCTGACTAAAAAAAATTTTTTTACAATGAATTGTAACATTCATTCTCTGCCCCCTCATTTTATTTTAAAATTACAGTATGTTATTTATCCTCTTGTGCCAATGCAATAGGAATGTATTGGTATTCTGAATTGCCAAGACTGTATTTAGGGAAGAGGTGGTATTCGGCAGGTTCTGACCAGTTCTGGAGAGCCGGTAGCAGAAAGTTTGAGTGGTTCGGAGAACCGGCAAATCCCACCTCGGACTGGCCCCACCAACCCCATCTCTTCTCTGCCTCCCATTGAGTCCCAGCTGATCGGCTGGGTCTTCTTTGGTTGCCCAGCACAGGAGAATGGAGCTGGAAAGCAGGTTAGTGGGGTGGGGAGGGAATGGGGATTTTGCAGTATCCTTCCCCTGCCACGCCCATCAAGCCATGCCCACCGAACTGGTAGTAAAAAAAAAATTGAATCCCACCACTGATTTAGGTCCAAGTCACTTCCACAAAAACAGTATTCAGAGCACATTTTTCAAGAGGCAGATCTAGTTTCTGCAACACCTTCAAAGAAAAATCAGAAAGTCCCCTTGAAAAAGCACCCTTGGGACAACCATGACCTGGATGACTGAGAATCTCCATAGACATTTAGTTAGTTAATGAATTACTTACTCGTGGGTTCCATTTCGGTGATATACTGTAAAACTTCAATATAATGGTATGTTTGGGGGAAGTTATATCTATTTAATCCAAATTTTCAGCCTTTGCATTAAATGCACATTATTTGTGCAATGATATATACAAATTAGGTAATTATTACAATTGACATAAATTGTGTGAACAATTTCAGATTGTCAGATACAGGTAGTCCTCAACCTATGACCACAATTGAGCCCAAAAGTATCCGATGGTAAATGGGATGTTGTTGAGTGAGTTTTGCCCCACTTTTACGACCTTCCTTGCTACAGTTGTTAAGTGAACCGCTGCAATTGTTAAGTTAGTAAAATGATTGCAAAGTGCGCTTCCTCATCAGCTTTGCTTGCCAAAAGATCACAAAAGTTGATTGCATGATCCCAGGAACTGCAACCGTCATAGTTACGAACTTGTTGCCAAGCATCCCAATTTTGACCCCATGAGCATGGGGACGCTGCAATATTGTCAGGGTGGAAAATGGTCCTAAGTCACTTTTGTCAGCGCTGTTGTAATTTTGAACAGTCACTAAATGAATGGTTGGAAGTCAAGGACTGCCTGTTTAAATTGGATCCCTCCATCCAAAGGCTGGTAAATTGAAGTCCGTTAAATCAAAGGCTTTGGTACTTTTACAATAGCCGGTAATACAACCAAGACTGAAAAAATAAAAATAAAAATAGTTTGCTAATCATTGGTCTTTGAACCTGTTTAAAAAAAAAAAAAACAGGGGACAAAAATTTGTAATTGGAAGAGTTAACTTTGGCCTCGTAAGCATGAAGAATCCGGATCCTATGTTAAGTTCCAGTTAAGATGATTTATTACTGAAACCTATACACAAGAATTTAATCAAGGACAGTCAGCCCTTAAATTGGCATTTAGATAAGAGTCAAAGGATTTCGAGAGGAGTTGGACATAAACAACAAAATAGCAGTTGTAGGCTGCATAGGGGGACCTTGACTTTGCTCTCAGGGTCTGCCTCTTCTTCTCTTACAGGCCTTAGAAATTGTAGAGGGAATAAGAAACGGCCTTAAAGGAGAGGAGGAAGAGATGCTACCAAGGCAATGGTCAGATAAGTGGGGCTTGAGCCCATGCCAAGAAAGCAACTTGTGAAAAGACCTCAGAAAGGTTCTTTCCTAGTTCACCTGAAGATTGAGGAAGAGGGAAGCACATCTGGATTCTGTTACTAAAGCTATTACAATTAAAAAGTAGTCCCTGACCTAGATGGCCTTGGTTTCTTCAACTGGTCTACTTTGCTTGACAGGAACATATTAAACAGACCACGATCTCAGGAAGGTGGGGAGGGGAATCTTACATCAGGACTTATAAATAGATGTTGGGGGTTTAATCAGAAACAAGGATAGCTTTCTTCCAGCCTCCAGCCCATTTAGTGGATCTGGTCTAACCAAATCATAACTACCACCATCTTTGCAGGAATTGCTTTATCCTTGGTGAAACAGAGGGTGGGAGAAAGAAAGAAAATGCACCCTCTTGTTACAAGTTGCAACAGCCAACTCATACAACGCACAAAGGCTCCTTTTATAAACAGAGCAACTCTTGATTAACCCAACATGTACCATAAGCTTGCTTTAGAAAATCAAATCGGCTGGCTTATACATCCCATGTCACCGCAGACCACATTGGCACAACAGGATAAGCTTGGTTTATTTGTAACCTTGGTTTGTTGGCTTTGCGATTCTTGGTGTGTTGATGACTTAATGATTC